TCCATATTATATATATAGCCCTAGACATTACACTTATGCAAGTTCTAGCAGGTGGAACTCAAGGTGAGGTGTCACCACTTTGTCCAAGTCCAGCAGTGATAGATATATATATAGTACTTGTGGAGAGGACCTGTGCAATCTCTAGTGGTGCAGTGGCATAGAGCACCACTCAGAACAAGAGTGTTAGCTAAAGGTGAGGTTGAGGGTTTAAGACTTGCTAAAGACATTTTTAATATATTTTTTCCAGCACTTTGAATACATCCCGGGCTTATAAATAGATGATGTTGAGGTCATACAAATCATTTCCACACTAGTCATAAATTATAGACCTACGCTAACAACTGCTATCAATGTCTACTATAGTACTATTTCTGTCTACCATAGCGCTATTTTTGCATTAATTTACATTATTAGTGCAATTATATTTGAGAACCTCTTGATTTTGCACTATTTTTTACTATCTGACTAATATGTTTAATAAGTCCTAATATATACTCAATAGATGTAATTTTTCAAGATGGTTTTTACAGATGCAGGAGTTTAATTCTCATATATTCTCTATTTGTATTGAGGTTGAGCATGACTCCAGGGGCGTTCTTGATATATGGCCCTTCTTATACACCTTTTGGAAGCAGTGTCTGCATCAGTCTCCTGTAGGTCGATACTATTGTGCAGTGGTCTTGTACACAAATACCCAGAACTGCTTCCACCCCAACCAAATTGTCTTATGTTTTAACTGTTGCCTGCTAGAGCTTGAAGAGTACTTTCACTTATAGTCAATCTTGCTACATATACTCAATATCACATAACTACATAGCACATTGATCATGTCTACTCATTCTATTTAAGGCTAGCCGGCTAAAATCTCCACAATTTTCTTCTACATAGCACACTGCGTCTCACAAAACTTCTTGAAGATACTGATCATACGATTATTGTGCCGATGGCGCTCAAGCTGCTCTGCTTTGCACATTTATTGTCTCTCCTCCTAGGATTTCTCCAATGCCTGAAGAGTTGTCCTGATAGTGTTTTGTCAAGCTGACATTACTTGAAGTAGCAGATGCGATCAGCAGCCTCCTTACAATTGCGCTTTCTGGATTACCAGCTCTCCTTGTCCTTGCCATTGCTAGACATATCTGTCTTGCTTAACAAGGACTCGGTGTCAGAACCGACATTCATCCTGCACATGGCAGCATTTTAGAAGTAGGCTTCTTGGGCTGTCTTCTCCTCCTTCTCCTTTCGAATGAAATGATTAATCTATTACTGTCAGCAAGGTGCATTGAACTTACCTTTCACACCTTCGCATGCTTATTTTTGTTGATGTGGGAAGGTCCATCTCTCAATGCAGTAAACTGGTTGAGTTTGACTAATATAAAAATCTCAATTGATGGATGCTCTACAAGAGCACGGATAATGCTAGACCACAGATCTAGATTCTATAGAAGTACACTGAGCAAGTGCGAAAGCATCAAAAGACTTACCACATGAAAGTTAATCAACTTCCTGATTTTATACTTAATGGTGTCAGCACTAGAGTTCATGCACAGCTGCTATGCGTGCAGTGCAGCCATGACCTTGCTCCAGGCATGGCCCTTGGCCCTATGCTCTGCAAGTACATATTCTTTGAAATAGTCACTGTGACCATCTGCTGAAGCTCAAGCAATTAAAAGCACTGCGGCTAGATGGGAGAGGTGTCATGCTCAGGGCTGGGAGGATGCTTGAGGCTGTGAGGAGAGTGCTCGGGGCTAGGAGGGTGGATGAAAGCCAGGAAAAGCAAAAACTGTGGAGAGTCCCATATGGCATAAGGAGGGTTGGCATTAGAGTTGACATCAGGAAAATGTCATAGACTTGTACAGGCACTTAGGGTACTTGGCCAAGTACCTCAAGTACCCTAAGTACCCTAAGTTCAATGGACTTGGCTAAGTCCAGTGGGTTGACTTAGCCAAGTTCTGGTACTTGGCTAAGTTCTCTCAAGTCCTTGCTCAAGTTGCTGCTCAAGTACACTGTGAACTTAATACATGAAGATGATATGAGTGATTTGCTGTAAGGTAAAATTGAAATAACAGTGCTCTATATCATTGTCAAGTGTAGAACATTTGAAGGCAGGTGCAACCGCCATAGAAAATATTACTCATACAGAAATTTGAACCGGCAACCTCAGCAGCTAAAGACCTATGAGACATCTTCAACCACTGCACTATGGTGGCTTATATAATTATAGCCTATAGCATAACTATGTACCAGCATTTGCTGGACTTGGCAGAAATTCTTCACTGCCCTCTCTTTTATCATAGCAGAACTCGGACAGCTACTACTGATACTATAATTCTAGTGCTGCTATTCAGGTGCTGCACTTCTATATCACCCCTTTATCAGGCAAATAGAGCAATTTATAGTCTTCTGTTAAATGACATTGCCTTTCTTCTAATGGGCTCTATTGCTGCTCCCATAGACTTCGAACAGACCACTCTACAGCTAGTATATGGATGTTTGTAATGTATCTAATCAGATAAGAAGTATCCCAGAAGTGCAACCAATAGAACACCAATCGATCAATTCAAGTCAAAGTACACCTAAGTCAACCTGTGAAGTCTAAGTAGTGGTCTAAGTACCTCAAGTATACAGACTTAGTCCAAGTATGTGGACTTAGGCTCAAGTACAGAAACTTAGGCCTAAGTATTCAGACTTAGGCTTTAGTACAGGACTTAGGCCTATGTCACAAACTGCCCCTATGGCGCTACATTTCCTTTTCGATTTGGACCATGGCCTCGTACATTCATCCCTTGTTCTCTATTCGGTGTGGCTTCCCCTTATTTGCATATGGACAATAGCTCCCTTTGTGTTTCCCTTCGCTATTGTCCTACGTTCCTTATACTCTGTATCCATGGTGACACTATTGTTCTCTAGCACCCATTGTTTGTTCCCTGTATATAGCTGGACCCCTTGCTACCTGGAGACACTAGTTTTGACCTCTTATCTCTAGGTAAGCCATTATGTATTTTGCTCTGTAAATACTTCGCTCAATATATCCTTGTATCCAGCTGTTACATCTCATGCCTAAGTCCCTCCGGAACTCCGTCAGACACCACACTAACCCTGTCGGACCTTCAGACTTGCCTACAAATAGCTACCTAGGTACTGGTTTCCATCTCCTTTCCGGTCTCCAATGAGAACCATGTGGTTTTCTGAGTGTCTGCTCTGTCTCCGCTGGAATGTCCGTTTTTCCATATCAGTGCCTAACACCACTTACATCACAGCTCCACTTAGTGTCGGTGTTCCGCCAACTCCGGTCGGACCTCCTCCTCCGATATCTCTGATTTGGACTTTAGGGACGCTGGCTTCGTAGTATATAAACCCCCAGACTTAGCATGGTGTTTCTCAGTTCAGATATCTCGTTACCTCATCCCCTGTCTGCTACACTCTCTGTTACCTTACTGCGATCTATTTTTTCCGCCTCCGTCTGTTCTCCGCCGGCTCTCCATTCCGTCCTTTGTCCGACCTCCAACTCCGAAATCGAGGACACCCTCAGGATTTGTCACAGCCAACGAGCTGTGCCACCAAACAAATAAGGGTAAGCTTACTGGTGCAGAGGTTGATGCTGAGAAGCAGAGGTGACACAGCAAAGAGATGTGAAGAAGTATGTTCCCTAGACTAGAAGGGGCAGTGAGGAGGTAGGGCTGCTAGCTACCTACAGAGGAGATGGGTGATTGATGAGAAGATCAAGTCTGAAGTTTCCCTGCCTCAGACTCCCTACTATATATACTAATACAACGGTGCACAGACCAGGTACCTATTGACCATCATTTGATCAGAGTTCTCTGCCTCATGTCCTACCCTCTGACCTGCCTCATGGTGACCTTACGACTAATACCTGAGTCGTGCTGAGTCCGGACCCCTTCCAATGAGTAAGCGCTCCTGCTGTCACATCAGTCACCTGCTGGTGAGTGAGGATGGGCGCTCCCGGCCGTCATGAGGTCTGGGGTTCGATCCTGGCCCCTCCACTTTCTGATATGAGTTGTCCGCAGTCAAGGTGAGCATTTGTCCTAGTACACATGACCCTCAGGTCACGTGGCATGAGAAAACTGTGACAGGATCCTCAGGGTGTTGCCAATAGCTTTGCTGAAGTCCTCTTCCCGTGTCCGCCCAGTCCCAACTCCGATCCCCAGAACCCTGGAACTCTGGCGGCACAGATTTATCACTAGCTCTGCCTGTTGAGCTCTGCTCCAGTCTCACTGCGATCAGAGCCTATCAGTGCTTTTGCCTGCCTCGCTTATCTTCCACTTACGCACTCAACAGTCAGTCGTAACAGCCTAGATATGTGAACTTGAGTCTAAGTATAGGTCTAAGTCTGTGACATTTTCCTGATGGATCTGGAAATGGCATGCACTGAAGTTTACAATAGGTGGATAAGGAAGTAAAATACAGTACTTACATAGTAATATGCACCCGCACCTTGATGGTAACTCCAGGTCCAGCCAGGTAGAAGATGCTTCTCAGCTTTATTGGGCATGGTTGCATTGCAGTCAGATGGGATGATAGTTCAGTTTTAAGTTTTCGAGCTTGCTCTTCTGTAACAAAGCTGGCTAATCAGAAAGTGAGTTAGACACCAAATGGCTCATCCGACATCGCACCACTGGTTCAAAGATCGGGCAGATCCAATCTGGTTTTGAACCGGTTGCGAAAGGACTCTAATGTAGCAATTTGTTTGGCGGGGCATCTACCCGACAGAAAAAGGGGCCCAACCGGGATTCGAACCCGGGATCCCTTGCATTCAGAGCGTCACCCAAAGCAAGTATCTTACCTCTAGACCATTGGGCCATGTATGGGATCGCATGTACAGAGTAATAGCTATGTTTAGTACGTCTTGTGTGGGGCTTCTGCGGAGGGCAGCCTCAGACGCATTTCGCAACTACGACGGCTACCATCTCACAGCTACCTCCTCCCTCCCAGCTACCATCTCACAGCTACCTTCTCCCTCCCAGCTCTGCATATCAACTACAATGTCTGAAGGGTCCACCATTGCTCGTCCTGCTTCCGCTCATCTCCAACCGAGTCGTCGCACCGTGTCTCCCATTCACTCTCAGCAACCTGCGCCCGTGACAGCCATGTCTACCCACCCAGACAAATCCGCAGCAAAGTTTGGCCATGCTGACCGTATCCGTGGCGGCTGCATCCCATGCCCCGTGCGTATCCCGCCTCCGTCGCCCTCCTCGTCTCATGCTGACTGTGTCCAGGACGGGAGCATCTGTTATATCATCCCTATACCTTGCTGCTGCTGAGACGATGCAGCTCCATACCCCCTCGCGCTCCCTGTCCCCTCAGTCACTGGCATGATTGCCTTGCCCAGGACGTGCCTATCATATTGGTCCTTCCGGAGCGACTGTACAACGGACATCCACTTTTTTGTAGCTATACGAACTCCTGTATCAGTTATCTCGGCTATGCCATTCGTTCCGTTGTCGGTTTCAGCACCCCCCTTTGCGTGTTCTCGCCCTATATGCGACAAAGTGCTGCCCAGGCAGCGAATTCACTCTGACAGTGAGAAGCGCTCTGCTGGTGAATCTGCGTACCCCTCTCCGGCGCTCGTGACTAGCATCAACTCCTCATGGACAAGTTCGCAACACTTGAGCCCGTTCGTCTGTACAAAACACCCTCCTCTCCCAATCCACAAGGTCCCAAACGATTCTCGATCCATAAGCCTAGCTCGCAGCACGTTCCATCTCACGCTAGGACCAAGAGTTATGCTCCCTTCCAGCTCATCGGCCGGCTCCCTGTGGACCTCCATATCCTCATACTCACTTTCCTGTCCGTGCCCGACCTCCCCGCTTATGCTCTATGCTGTCGTGCTCTCGGAACTCTTGCAAAAGACGAGCGCGTCTGGGAAGCCCGATGGAAAGCATTCGGAGTCGAGAGGTACAAGCTGGACGACGTCCTGGATGCTCTAGAAGAAAAGGTCAAGGTACAAAACGGACTCGCGAAGAACAATGTGCCCCCCACACTCGCAACTGAAACTCTTGACGACGAGTTCGGCGACTTCACTTCCACCAATGCACAATCTGGAGAGATGGGTGATTTCGTCGGCGCGTTCAGCTTGTCCACTCCCCGCACGTCTGCCTTCGTCCTGCCGTCGTCGAAAACGTGTCGTACGCTCTATATACGTGCTCATACGCTCCTCAAGCCGCTTGTCCCCGCCTTGTCGTCTCCCCCGCACGCAGTCCTGTCTAACCTCTTCCCGTCGCCTGCCCCATCTCTCCGGCGTCAGGCGCACACCCTTCGGCTCTTGACCCTCTTCCTGTCGTCTGTTGTAAAACCACTCCGGAACTGGCAGACGCTAGCGTCGGCCCTCCGCGCCGCCGTAGATCGTTTCGAAGACGGTTTGCTCACCGCGTTCGACGTTGCAGATGGAAAGGGAGACGAAGCGGGCATGCACGAGGCTGCAGAGGCGAGCTGGGAGGTCTGGGACGGTTCCGGAGGGGAATGGGAGTTGGGCAAGGTATGGGCTGAGAAGCGGGAAATCTTCTACGAACAGGGCAAGTGGAAGCCCCTCGACAACTTCACGTAAGCCGCTCAGCTTTCTCTACTCGTACCTTCATTCATTGCCCGGTGTAGACAGAACTCTGAGCTCGAGTTTACTCCCATGGACGACTTCATGGCGGATATCCTAGCCGCACTGGAGGAACACGGCTCTCGTGCGATACGGGTATTCCCATCGGAAGCGAACGTGTTGATATCCTTTGCTGATCGCTTGGCAAGCGAGGTTGTAAGTGAACGTTTCACGCGGTCTATGATCTGGCAACGTCATTCTGAGGCAGCTACCGCGTTAGGTTGGGGAATACATCACGACGTTGCTCACCCGAGCCCGCGAGGTCTCCAATGAAATCTTCCTGAAGGCTGCGGCTGCTACCTTCAAGGAGTCTTGGCGCATGGTCGATACCATCATGCAAGTTGCTGCCGCTAAGGAGCATTCACAATTTCCTAAAACAACAGCGGAAGATGTCGTGTAGGCTGCACGTTTATATCGCCACGGCCGTTGTGATTCTGACAATGTGATCAGGTATAGGATGTTCGAGCCAAATATGGACGAATACCTCGACGAAGAAGTGGAGTATGTGAAGCAGAGCTTTGAGATGACATGTCGATCTTGGGAACAAAAGGTCGGTCGTCGGTCCACCGCAATCCAGGCGACATTCTTTTTCTCACATCCAATAGCTCTCAGAGCGCAAGGGTACTGCAGGGGTCCCTGCTAACGCCGATAATGCACGTTTTCTCAGCTCACACAATCCTGCGCAAGTCAAACGCACAGTGCTCGCCTCATTTACCGATGTTCTCCTGCTACCTGTGACAATCGTCCCCAAAGCGGTCGGTGCCGCGATCACCACCGGCAGTACGGCTGCGGTGCAGGGAATCCAGATGCTCAATCCGCAACGCTGGGGTGCGCAAGCCCCCGCTGGACCAGGATCATCCCCTTTTGCTCGAATGACGTCTTGGAACGCGAACGCAAAGGATGGCTATGTGCGCGATTTTGAGAAGGGCGGAGATGGTATGTTGTTTGATATTGGCGCAGACGAGGACGAAGAGCCCGCCGCTGCAGGCGACTCCAGCACCAGTGAGAAGACCCCTCGATGTGGGTGGTTGTGTTGCTACTCTCTGCGGGTCATCATTCAAAAGTTCCTCCAGCCTCTTTAACAGCCTCGCCCACGGTGGAATCGAGTAGTACGGCGCCTTCATCTCTACAGTCAACTCGAATGTCGACGCCGAACCCAGGCGCACCTCCGCCCACGTTGGACAACCTAGATCTCCTTCTTTCCTTGGACACGGCTTTGGAACTGATTCATGCAGACCGGGAGTCGCTCAAGCGAGCGGAGACGTTCTCCGGATACCCCGGATCCTATGGGCATCGCGTTCGAGACACCATCGAAGAGATATTCGTTCTCCTCCTACAGGCGTTAGGAGAGCGTCATATCAAACCAGGTTTCGGGATGTACGTTACCGGATTGGCTGCTACCGTCGCGGGGCACTGACGTATGTTACAGCGCAATCGAGCAAATGAAGTCATATAAACCTGCTGAGCATGATGAGACCAAGAGCGTCGCGCCGCTACTGCAATTCTTTGAGCTCGTCCACATAGGTGATACAATGCAGTCAATGATTCAAGTCTATTTCGACAAAGAGCTAGTGGGTCACCCTTCGCGTTCTACTTGTTGGCTTCCATATAAATGCTAGTCCGTAGGCCCCACATATTGATAAGACGGATTTCTTGAATGCCGTTGTGCGGGAGAAGAAACATTTCGAAGACGTCTTGGATGACAGCGTCGCTGCTGGTCTGAATGCCGCGACAGACGCGCTCATGACCCAAGTGAGTCCACCTCTACAATGCGTTACGAGTTTGCCGGAAGGACGTCCGCTTCGCAGGTAGAGCACATCATTCAGAAACTCACAAAGCCGCGCGAGTACTACCCGGCGGAAGATGGACCGCTGGACCTGGGTCCTACCGAGGGGTGTCGGGAGGCGATCAAGTGCTTGCAAATGCACTGCCAGCTGCTCAAGGGCAGCACGAACAAGGAGGTGCTCGAGGTATTCTACCAAGAGGTTGGGATACGTTTGATTGCGTAAGTGTTCTTGACCTGATGTGTTGCATTGCGTCGCGGCGGCTGAGTTCCCGCAGGATTCTACAGAAGCATATCAAACGCCAAATCATATCCTTGAACGGCGGATTCCAGGTGATCGCGGACTTGAACGCATACCACGCGTTTATCACTTCGCTGCGGGTGCCCAGCATCGCCTCCGAATTTGCGTACCTGAAGATGCTGGGGCACGTATATGTGGTGGAAGACGCCAAGGACCTTGCGCAAATCGTGAGGGATGTGACGCGATACGGGGGCGCATATCGGCCGGAGGTGGGTAGGCAGCGAGCTGGGCTGTTGTGAAACACGGTGACTGAAGTATTGGCAGGACATATACGAGTTTATTCAGCGGCGGTCGGACTGGAAGAAGATTGAGAAGACGGTGGACAAGACGATGTACAACCTGTCCTTCAAGGAGGACTGCGTCGTCTGCTGACCGGCCCGGACTCCGGCGCGCTCCTTTCTGACGTCAGCTAGACGCCTGCACCGGCGCAGCGAGCGCACGTGTCTTGCCCAAACCGGCTTTATCTCCTCAACCGCATCGCTCCTTCACCGCATCGCCGCCGTCCGTCGTCTGCAGCTGCTCTCCACCCGCCGTCATGTCCGTCCCCGAGTTCTCTCTCCGTCTCCAAGAAGGTAACAGTCGTCGCCTCGAGTGTCGGATCTGACAATCATAACTGAGGCCCACCAGGCATCCAGGGCGGCTTCGCGCCCCCCACGCCCAACGCCATCATCACCGTCACCGCGATCCCCACCCAGAACTTGCTCAACATCACCAGTGCAGTCCGTCCCAAGGGCACCCCATCTCTCCAAGACGCCGTCCCCAAATCCATCTCCGCTGCCAATGATCACACCGTCGCCCTTGTCACCGAGCTACGCGAAATACTACAGTCCATCCCCACCGAGTACCCTCCTGGCGTAGAGGACATCTACGGCTTGAACACCAGCATCGCCTTCGGCACCGATGGCTTCGAGTGGGCAAACGGTGGTCCGCAAGGCTGTGGCCATGGCGAGAGTCAGGTCAAGCCGACCGAGGAACAGAAGGCCAAGTTCAAGCGGGCGGTTGAGATCGTCAAGGAGCTGCAGGCCAAGGAAGCATAGTTCGAGGACGGGCGAGAGGATTGTATAACGAACTCATGATACCGTCAATCGGTGTACCAGCTTAAGTCGCCAACTACCCACTTCTGCGGCAGGAACAATGCGCTGCCACCAAACTGTCCCAAAGACTTTTCCGACAGGAGTATCATCTCTTCCGCCTCACAAGTCTTTTGCATCCTCGCCGAGCTGTTTCGCCGCGCCAAGCGTCTCGCCAACGACAGCACCCCCTTCCCGCACCAAGCTCTCTCTCGCCCCCTCCAGCACTTTCTCCCTCCCAGAGAGAAGCTCCTTGTGTTGCGAGATCGACCGCTGTAGACAAGTGTGTAGAGCGAGCTTCGTGCTGACAGCCAAAGTTGTTAGGTGACGTCAATCGATTCAAGCGAGAGACCCACTTTATATGCTCCTTGACCTGATTAACGCGCTCATCGTCAGAAGACCAGCAGTAGATCAGGTTGACCACATACGAAGTCGAGCATTCCTGAAAACCTCTCAGCCATTTCTGGGTGACGGCTATCGTGCAGATCAGTGGATGAGGCAGGTACAGACGATCACGTACCATCAGCACCCTTCGTCCACTCATCGATCGAACACTCGGACCACTTCTTCCGTGCCTGCTCGTAGGCGTCCGCGTGTGCTTCTATACAGATGTCGAGATCTTGACCAAGAAGCCGGTACAAAGCCTGCTTTGAATGCCCATCCCTCTGCGCGCCGAACGAGTCCTGGAGCGGTACTACGTCCGGCGCCCGGGTGGCCGGGCGATCGAGCCCCGGGCCATGATGAGCCTCAGGAGTCGTTCGACCACTGTAGATGGATGTATACTCGTCCTGTGCCATTCTAGTCACAAGATAAATGTGACGAACAGATCGCGCACCTCGTCGATTGCCGACTTGTACCTCTTCGCAGCGGTCCCATACTCGTGCTCTTCTCCGGTCTCCATCGCGGGTTCGGTGCGCTTCATAGGTCTACGCAGGGATGGACTACGGCGGTCGATGTTGTGGTGTGGGTCAAACCCACGTTCGTCGAAGCTACCGAGATCCGGAGTGGGAGGAGGACCCATAGATTGCGCGTGGCGGGAAGGCACGCCGTCGCCGTCCTCGTCGACCTCATGTATGCTAGCTAGAGAGGGGTGGGAAGCTGTACGAGAGCGAGGAGCAGCGAGGGGAGGATCGAAAAAGCGAGGAGAGTCAGTATCCTGGGTTTGAGGAAGGTTATTCTGTGCGTTCTTGTGATCGTCGAAAGAGAATGAGTTGGATTGGACTATATGCGCCTTGTTGGAACTGAAATTGCCATATTGACCAGAGTCGTCGCGAGGGCGCTGGTGTGGGAGAGGAGACAAGAAAGCATTCATAGAGACGAGACCTGCACTGGGGAAGAAAGGAGAGGAGGGCCTAGCTAGTCCAGGAGGCTTTTGCTGGCTGGTGATAGACTTGGGAGAACGAGAATGGGCTCGAGAGCTACCAGAGGAGCGAGAAAGAGCGCTTTGAGGCCGAGAGATGTTCTTGGCTCTGGCGAGGCCAGAGAGGTTAAGCGGCTTGAAGTGGGACGGCGGAGGAGGGGGAGGGGCGTCAGTGCGGCTGGATGAATGCTCTTGAGAACCGAGGCCTTGGGAGTCAGTAGCGTTGAGAAGACCATTCGCACGGAAGGGTTCATAGCCTGAAGGTGACGATGGAAGTTGGGCCTTGTCCGCGGCGGCGGTGTCCACTCGGGAGGCAGGGCGAGGCACAAATGGGGCTCTTGCACTCATGTCACTTGAGTAGACGGCGTTTCGTAGGGTTTGAAGCAGAGTGAACCGTGCAGAAGGAGGCAAAGTCGAGGTTGGGAACGAGGACGATGACGAGGACGACGACGAGGGCGACGATGAGGACGACGACGGAGGACGAGGACAGAGGAAGGAAGAGCGTCGGCGAGGACCCAACGACGGCAAGTTCCGGCCGGGTCACCGAACGAGTACTTACTGTCCGACGCAGCGGCGACGGTGATTGCAAGGTCAGTGACCGCAGCTGCTACCATCGTTCACATTAATATTTACCCCATGTCGGCAGGAGGCATGGCTGACCTCGGGTTGAAGAGCAGGCAGCGCAGCGACTATCGCTTCTTCCTCTCTTACCGCACACGCTGGTCCGTCTCCCGCACCTTCTGTGCCCTTCCTGCTCACAGCACATCATATCGCAGGATTGACAACGATCAGTATGCTCACATCAACAACTCCGTCTACTATCACCTCTTCGATTCCGTCGTCAACACATATCTCATCCAACATGCCCACCTCTCCCCCTCCTCCTCTCCTCTCATCGGCCTCGTCGTCTCCTCTTACGCCCACTTCTTCTCTCCCCTCTCCTTTCCTGCAGTCCTCGACCTGGGCCTCAGGGTCACCAAAATCGGCTCCAGCTCCGTCTCTTACGAGATCGCCGTCTTCGAAGAGGGAAGCAGCGTCCCTAGCGTCGTCGGCGGCTACACCCACGTCTTCGTCGACCGAGACTCTCGAAAGAGTCGCCGAATGGCCCCAGAGACAAGAGTAGGCCTAGAGAGACTCTTCATCACTACGGCCGTTCCCAAGCTCTAGCATACGATATCTACGCCAATCCGACCTTCTCTCAATTCTCGCACTATCGCTGCATTAATGCATGTCATGTGTCATTGCCGAGGCTACCTTCCGCTCGATATGACTAGCAAAGCTCTCGAACACACCACGCTCTCGTCCTTTCACCCAATCGAATACTAAGCAGCCCGCCTCAATTCGGATTCGACAAGTCATGCGAACCTCGATTGCTGCAACCTCTTCAACCTGCATTTCCTTCTGTCTCTTCCTTCTCGCAGCCCTAGACCAAACGTCTCCCGACGCCGAGACGATCAAGTCGAGCACCGGCGCTTCCGCTGCACCATGGTCCACAACCAGACCCTCCACAGAACAGATGATGTCCGAAACTGTCACAGGAAGCTGTGCGTCGTCGGCCGTTGGAGGGAGCCGCTGTTTCAAAGTGTTCCGAGCAGGCATGATATTTTGAAGCCCCGGATGAGAAAGCCTGGCTAGTGACTTTCGCACAGGTTAGATGACGCTCGCTGCAACCGGCTGAAAAAGTATACGTGCATCTGGGAGGCGGACGTCTTCGAACGACCAGGCGATGATCCAGCGCCTCGTTTGCCCCTGGACGAGCTCAGCGACCGCGTAGTTGTCCACCTGCGCGGCCAATCAGTACACGCATCTCTGACGGATGACAAGAGTACCTTGCTGTCCCGCAACGTTTGCACGATATGCTTCAGGCTCGACATCTTGCCTAGCATGGACGTATACCATCTGTTCTGGACGTCGCATACATCCTCCCGCGATGATAAGCCAGCCACGTACCTACACCTGTCTTTCAAGGCTAGACTCTCCTCTACCATTCGTCCGACGAAAGCCGTCTCACCTCCATCGGTGATCATCTCCACATCTGCGCCCGTACATACCTTGCAGTGCTCCCATTGAGCGATGAAGATGTGCGCTATCGCGGCCACGTACCGCGTTTGGGCCAAGTTCCTTGGCAGCTGCCGATTGGGCGACGTCTTCACGACTGCTGTAGAATGGCGGATTGCACATCACGAAATCATAATTCACATGGCTACACCAGGTCAGTGCACCCGAAGGAGTTCGCCGGGCGGAGACGTTCGCACCTCTGGAACATTGGGAGAAGCATGGGTCCTTCCTTGTCCGCTCGCACAACGGATATCCTGTCTTGCAGTCCATTCGCGCGCACATTGTACCGCGCATATTCCAAGGATGTCTCGTCGACATCTGCAGGGAAAGCATCGGTTGGACGCCCTCCAAGTGGATAGGCACACTGACCTGTCCCCGCAAAGGTCCAGTTGGGGTGCAAGCTGCACCCAAGCAGCGGATATATTGCCGACGCGCCTGTCCCTCTGCTGGCGTGGTTAGCTGTGTGGTGCCTATACGGTGGTGTCACTCACATGTCAAGCCCTCGTACGGGGTGAACGCGGTCATCAGGTCGAATAGCTAGCGAAGATGCTTCCACGATGTCCTCCAGCCACAATATGTAGTTCAGCCTATGATCATGATAGTCAATCGCAATGAGATGTGAAGCACAAGAGGCAGACAGACCTATTGGGTACCTGTCACAGGATCAGCATGCATGAAGCAACACTAGCTCGATGCATCATACCGGTGGGCAGAGCCGATTTGGAGGCAATTCCAACGTAAGTCCAAAGTCCCGGTGTAGGATCGCCTCGGTGAGTCTCCTACATGGGGTCAGTCATGAAATGCAAACGCATAGCCAATGCGGGAGCATCAACCTCTGTGAAGCCTCATCCTTGAAGTCGATCGACGACCCATTCGCAGTTGCGATGATGCTAGGCCGTCGCGTACACGATTAGGCACGTCGTCCTTGCGATTAGCGTCTGCGAGCTTACTGTTGTTGGAGAGGAGGGTAGGCATCCGCAAGTGCTTGAAAATCGGGTGGTTCCCGGTATGGATTACGTGCATGCATCCGTTTGCAGCGGGAGGAAGTTATCTCCGAAAGCTGAGACTCAGGCGAGCTCACGGCGGTAGACAGACGAAATAGTGCGCGCTTGCACCGCATAGCTTTGTGTAATGCTTGCATGAAGCAGCCGAAGTCGCGTTCAGATCGGTACTGATTGCTGCGGTGTACTACAAGTGTGACTTGATACAAAATTTGGCAGCTCGACTAACGATACAGATGGAAGAGTCGTGCGTATGAGAGTGGGTGTGATACATGTTGAGACTAGGATGTCCGTGGGTAGAAAAAGTATCGCTGCGAGGGGAGCTCATTACAAAGGCATCGCATAGCGGAAGGTATAGTAGATGGGGTGGTCACACGCGGAAGAGGTAACGGATAGCTCAGACTGGTACGTGTGATATTCACCACGCGACACCAACGCTCAGCCTACTGGGAGCAAAGGTCGGATGCATCCTCTGCTGAGCCAAGGAAGACGGCGCACCTAGTCGACTCCCTCAAATTGGCATCCCAGACGAGGCGCGCGTCTTGCTCGTCGGCCACAGCGCCTGCGAGATCCAGCCTTCCGCCATCCGACACGGTGGTGCCGGTCGGGAGTGCGTGTGAGATTTCGCCCTCCTCTTGCCCGCTAGCGATGCTGCCGACGATCGACGCCATGTCGCTCATGGTCTCTTCAAGAATGATGGATAAAGGCTGCCCAGGGATGTGCGTGTGGACGCTCATCCCCAATACTGCTGCCAAGTCACCTCGCGACGCGTCCCTGGTGAACGCCTTGGCATCGTCGTCCATATCGTGGTCCGTGAATGCGTCGATAGCATTGGCGTCCTCGCTTCGGCTTTCAAGCCCGGGGGTCAGAGCGAAGCTGTCGCAGCTTGTGGAAGTGGCAGGAGTCCTGACGTCGAGCCCGAGTCCGATGCCTAGAGCACGCGAAACAGCGTCGACATCAAGTTTACCATTTGGGTCTTCAAGCTCAGTGATATCCCAGCTGTGTCGTGGCTCGACCTTGGCAAAAGACTGACTAGCAGCACGGGAGGTAGACGGTGGAGACCCATTGCCAAGCTCAGAGATAGCCAGAGAAGGGGAAGCCACTGAGACACTCTTGGTAGCCTTGACGATGTTGAGGGGCTTGGTGCGAGGTTGGGCCTGATCGGTAGGTCTTGAGAAGCTGTCGAAAGCGGTCACCAGGGGCGAAGAAGGGCTGTGGTGAGTGGGACTGCGCAAGAGGGACTGGGTGATAAGGGTGTGCTGATCTGTCAGCCAGTCGCGGGGCAAGACGATGCAACTTGTGGGTCTGAGAGAAGAGGTGTAGATAGGCTTGGGGACAGGTATACCGGGAGCGAGAGGAGAACGAAAGATAGCGAGGGAGAGAGAGGCGGGAGAAGCGTTGATGGACAGAAGGGAGGAGGCGGTCGATGAGGGATGTCGCTCGGCGAGAGTGGCGAAAGGAACGAGAGGGGAGCGTGGAGACGTGAAAGGAGTATAGAAAGGCACAGCTTGAGAGCGAGCAGGTGAGGGCCAAGCGGTGAAGTATGAGATGAAGGAAGAGCTTACAGGAATCTGTGGTGTCGGCCGAGATCTGGTGAGAGGTGAGGGAAAGAGAAGAACGATCAAGGAAGACCGGAGGAGTCGCGGGCGGTGGTTGATAACAGGCAGGATTGAGGACTGGTGCCATGATCTGCATGAGGGTGGGGGAAGTGTCGGCGGATGATACACGAATGGATGGAGGGATGAGGATCGGTGAGGAAAGGTGTTGGAGGCTACAGGTGGAATAGTCGGGCTCAGATCGTGGGCGATGGGTGGTGGGGAAGAAATGTGAATGGGGCCGGAGAAAGGAGCGGGAATGGAGAGTGAAGGAGGAGAGGGAGCTAGTGTTCGCGGTTTTGGAAGAATCAGAGAATGCAGGACGAGGAGCACGGACGGAAGGAGGGTTGCGCGACGGAGGGTTGTTATATTTGTGTATTCTGCAGGAGATGGTGGTCTCCCAGTTGGGAGAGCCGAGAACGCCGACGAGGTAGGGGGAGATGTATAGCAAGAAAGCCGAGGTTACGGAGTAGAAGGGGGTGGCGGAGAGGTGAATGGAGAGAGAAGAGACAGTGTGGATGGACTGGGCCCTGCGGAAGCGGAGGTAGACGTACTTGAGGGCGGCGAGAACAGGGAAGGGTACGAGGGCGAAGATGAGAGGCAAGGGCTGCAAGGATGCGGGGGACAAGGAGCCATCCGAGAGCGGTAGCGCGAGGACGGAGACGGGGAGAAAGAGGAGGATGAACGTGGCGGGACTCGGGGCCATCGCAGAGGTGTTACTCGTCGTCGTCGTCGTCGTCGTCGTCGTCGTCGTCACCGTTGCCGTCGTCGTCGTCGTCGTCGTCGTCGTCGAGGAACAAGGCGGGCGGAGGCTGAGCGCCATCGGAACCCAACCAGCGCGGACCGGCGGCACGGATCGTGCAGTCGTCCGGCGATCAAAACATGGCCGCTGGCACCGGTCATCAAGCAACTTATGTACTGCTCTGCTCCGGACGTCGACCATACTCAAACCCTCCTCCGATACCAAACTATTCAGTCGTCTTCTCTGACCCGCACATCCACCGAACGCCGCAACTAGCCTCGCTTGCCATGGCACCAGATAGTGAGTTATCCGCCCCACGACCGTTCCCTTCTCCCGGTCTCATCGTTCACTCCTCCCTCTCAAGAACAGCCCAACTTGGACGACCAACTTTCCGCCCTTCAACACACACGCAAGGACCTAAACACCCTCATCGCCTCCGCTCCCACCCGCGGTGCTCTTGTTCCTTGTATGTTTCCGAACTTCATCCCCTACTCTCTCACCACTCATTCCTCCCAGCGTTCCCTCCAACAGCTTCCACCACTGCTCTTCTCGCCTCATTTCTCCTCCTTGCCTCCTTCCTCAGGGGAGCAACGCTCTTCTCAACTGATATCGTCCAAGTCCAAACACACGACCATCGTGTCGGACGGCTTCCCGGTCTGTCCCTCCAGTCAACGTCCATCTTGAGCCCTAGATTCACCCATCCTACCAGCTCTGGGCTATAACGGTAAGCAATATATAGTCTCGCCCCATCTCAAATCAATCGCAATCATCTCACCCTCTCCCACAAGCATGGAACGCGTATGGCGTACGCCTCCAAGCTGTCTCTAACACCATGCTCTGTTACCCACTTGGTTCTCTAGTGCAACATCAACGAGTCCATCGTTCTTGAAGCCGCAGAATACCTTGACAACCTCGGTCTCAAGGTCATTCGTTCATTTTTCTTCACCGGCTCACTGCCTTACCTAGTCTCCTAGGATGTCGGTTATCGCCGTGTCAACCTTGACGACTGCTATTCCGAGAAGAGCCGCAGTCCCGCCGGAGACATCGTAGCCAGTAGGTCTTAGCCCTTCCGGATGTCATCAATCTCCTCTCAGTTCGGTTACAGGCGCAGCTCGCTTTCCCTCCGGAATGAACAGCCTGACGGACAGGATACACGCCCTTGGACTGTATGTCTGCTGCGTCATCCTCGAGACCCATTGTCTTACCCTCACGTCAGCGACGCTGGTATCGTGAGTAGCTACCCCACCCTTCGATCCTCGTCCTCACGCCGTGCCTCGCGACCCAGTACAGCGATTCTGGTTGGTTCACTTGTCAGCTATACCCCGGCTCCTATCAAAACGAGTACCGTGACGCGAAGCTGTTCCAAGACTGGGGTTTCGACTACCTCAAGTATGTCTGTCAATCTGTTTGTTCCACAGAACAGAACGCTGATAGCTTCAGGTATGATAATTGCGCGAGTACGATGGTTCATCCCTCACAGCCCCGCATTTCATGGCTTCTGACCACAATGGTAGTACCGTACGACGACGTAATCCGCCAGGGGATCGTCGGTAGTCAGTCGCATATCCCTTAGTCGCTCAATCTCTCGATTTGACTGTACAACTGTCGCTCCATAGAATACCAGCGCATTGCCGACGCCATCGCTCAGTTAGCCTCGGACACGGGAAAATCGCCGCTCTTTCTTTCCCTCTGTGAATGGGGCGAGGTAAGTCCCAATCCCCTGCCATTGCATGTTCCCGTGCTCACATCAAGGTATGCAGGAGCAACCCTGGTTGTGGGCGCGGCGATACGGCCAAAGCTGGCGTGTAAGTGCGCCCACTTTCCTCGTAGGTCGCATCTGATGTTCCCGTCTGATCCCAGACGACCGGTGATATCAGTGCGTACTGTTCCCCCGACGTTACCCATGACACCGATTGTCTCGTTCGTCCCTGTAGGCCCAAACTGGGGTTCCGTGACGGATATAATCAACAGGTGAGTGGCCGGAATGACATTCCTTCGGTTCGTGGCACTCATCGTGAGATTCCAGGAACTCTTTCATCGCTTGGGCATCGGATTTCTATGGTCACAACGACATGGACATTGTAAGCCGGCACAATCGTTATCACGTGCACGACTCGCTCACGTCGACTATGCTTGGCTCTCTGTCAGCTTGAAGTGTGAGCTCTGCGCATCTCTTCAAAGCTTGACTGCTATCTCACGCCGTCATCTGTCACAGAGGCAACGGGGATCTCACATATGAAGAGGCTAGGACCCACTTCACCGTCTGGGCCCTCATGAAGTCTCCTCTCCTCATCAGTGCGGATGTAGGTTCCTTACGATTTGTTGACTATCGAGCTATCGTAACTCATGTAATTCACAAAGCTTTCGTCGATCAGCGAGGCGGATCTCTCTATTCTGGCGAATGAGGAGATCCTTGCAATCAATCAAGACGATGTCATCGGCACGAGCATCACACCGTTCCGATGGGGAATAAACGTGAGTTAACTTGCATACCACCCATTCTCGTCGCCGTGGCGGCTGATCCAGCCTGCGTGGCAGTCTGATTGGGTGAGCAATTCAACCCATCCAGCACAATATTGGAGTGGCGAATCTCAGAACGGCACGGTGTTCATGCTGGTGAGTCATTTGCGCGTTCTGCTTCCCAGCAACGACGTCCACTGACTCACTTTTCGTAGATCAATACACTGGACGAGCCAGCTGACATGTTCTTCAACCTGACTGAGTCTCCATGGGTTCGCGCTGGCCGCCAATATCACGTTCGGGTACGTTGTCATGTCGCCCCATGTATCACCGAATTGATGTGGACTATCGATAGGATCTCTGGGCGCACACGGACAACGGGACGGCTGTGCGCAATTTCACCGCCGAAGCTGTCCCAGGACACGGTGTTGTCGCTCTTCTATTGCAGGACGCTGGAGATGAACCGGATAACGCGGGGCCCCCATGTGCTCGGCCCCATTGGTGTATCCATAAGAATGGGACGTTGGCGCCTGGTGCGTGAACTCAGACTCAATCAGAACAGCCATTTCAGTTCCTCCTGTACGCGATGCAGTCACGTCCAATACAAGCCTGCATACGAGCTCAATTGGGTTGCTCTGATGCAAGAGAACCTCTGAATGATGCGCCCCAAGACTTTGTTTGATATACTTCTCATTCAGTACGTTATGTCGCGTGACCTTCGCCTTCGTGCCACTCCTTGCAAGGGTTGTCTCCGCCCACTAATCAAGATCGAGGCGGGGCTGCCAGATGCTGAATGGCTGACCTCGATCGCGCGTTCAGAGGCTGGCGCCAGCCTCCATGACAGCCCTCTAGTCCCAACAGTATGTCTTCGTGGACGTACACTGTCTCTGTTGGAACCCGAGTTGACCTTGCGTCGGTTCTCGCTAGGCCTACCCGATGTCTGTGGCTCAGTCTCCGACACCCTCCGTCGGGCATCTCAAGTATGTCGATCCTACCTCAGGTCCCATGCAAATCGACCGCAAGCACGCAGCCCTGGTGAACTACACCATATGCATCGCCACGGTGCTTTTTGGCATCGCGCTCATCACCGTTTTTGCTCTATGCATCAAGTGGCGAAAGCGTGCCGCTGACCGTCACCTAAAAGGTAGCGCCAATACCGTCGTACGGAACAACACTATATCCTATCTCTCCCCAGCGCGTCGCTCCCTAACTCCCAAGTTCCCTCCTCCTGGCCTGTCCTACTATGAAAGCACCCTCAGTCCTCTGGCACTCCCTCCGACGACACCCCCTCCAGCCTACGCTGCGACTCACGTCACGGCGCCATGCACTTGCCCGGCATGCATCAATGGGACATTGCCGACTTACCCGTGTCCCTCTCCCGCCAGCTGTGCTACCAGTTCGAATTCCAGTCCCATCGAGACTTCATCGTCCGCGTATGACTCGGCCTTGAGGACGCCAAAACCCACCCGGTTTGCTGGTGTCATCTCAGCTCTTCGCTCATACCCTACATCCGCCAATCGATCACCCAGGACACCCAGCCCGAATGAGAATGCAGTTCGCAGGAGCTTTCAGAGGACCCCTCCAGATGGACATGTCCGGTCGTCTCAAGACTCTCCTCTAGCAGTCCACGGTCAAGAACGCGCCGTCCAAGATGCTACCAGTTCCTCTGACAGCAGCGCCTCATTGACCTTCACCCCACCCTCTGACGCGTTTGATACCCCTTCCCGCCAAGTCTCTGGTGTCCGCTTGCCTGCTCTTCAAGAGCTCCCTGGCGACGGCGACAATAATGCTCTCTGTCACGATGGACGAACAGGTTCCAGCATCAGGGCTCGCTTCCCCCTTGACTTGGCTGTATCCCGCGGTTATCTCGCCCACATCCTTGTGTCCCCTCCAAGTGAGGACCGCTTGGACGCTCTTCCCGACACTGGCGACAGCGAGCTCGCGGCACACACCATCACTTCCGCTACGGGAACAACTCGCGGATGTGCTCCTGGACCAGGCTCGTCCGGGACAAAGGCTCCTGAGACCATTGAGGATGGCCTCGATGATGCCTCTTCTGCCCAGACGTCCGCTGCTCACCCCCGGTCCGAGGCGTGGTTTACTGAGGTGGACTGGTTCGGCAAAGAGGGGCCCCTCGCCAAGTATGATGAACATGCACCCGCCACGGCCAGTCTCTATGGGCAAGCGTTCTAATTGGCCAGCGCACTACACGCAGCTTCTTCTCGTTGGCCATTGTCATCGCGCATCGTTTTCTACTTAGCAGCCCATGTCAATAGTCTCCCTCAGCATCAGTAAGCGGTATTTCACGATCGTCATTGCTCTCAGCTAGACGGTATATCAAATGTTCTTGGCGTATCGCACATAATGTATATCGACATGTTATTACCGAACGTATCTCGATTGGCGCCACTGGTCTTGCCAGTGCTGCAAAGCATCTTGCATAGAGGCCCCATCGTTTTCGACCTACTGCCGTGGTTGACAACGGCGACGAGCATCCATGCTTGATCGGGACCGAAAGTCAACTCACGCTGGGTGTATCCCCGTGGTCGCACCAGAGAAAGAAGTCATTCAAAGGAACATCGCCGCAGCTAATTGTCGAGCTTCGATTGCAGGGCGATGTCTTGCATGACGTACTCTCGTATTGGGTCGTTCGTCTCACGTCAGCCATAAGGACTAATGGTCAAGAGAATTTGTGTTAGAGAACAGTAGTGGACAGTAGAGGAGTGCTGTCGGCAGTATAGGACGTGCTATATGCAGTCATTGCCTGACGACCGCTAGTTATCCAGAAGCTATTTCTGTGCGCTCTTCCCGCATATCATCTTGTGGCTTTCCTTCCAATGAGCCTGACGAGTGGAACGCGACCTGGGATAGCACGCACCCGCTGAGAGTCCTTTCCGCAATAATACCTCTGTCCACACCGTGAACATGCCTTGAGATCGTGGGGCGTGCCGCAGTTGGCGCAGGCGGTATTCGTCGGCTTGTCCTTCCTGGTCAGCTTGACGCCTTCCTCCAGGAACATGCCGCCATGTCCGGGAACAGGTGTCTGCGAGACGGCGGTGCCCTTCTTCATGTTCCTGGCCGTGCGCCCGAGCCTCGAGAGCATACTCGAGTCGCTGTTCATCTCATCCATGGGGGCGAACGGCGTCACGAACTTCTTGCTGGCGTAGTGCAGGCTGCCCTTGCTGTCGAGTGCATCGCGGATGGCCTTGCGCATGCCCCCGAGGTCGAACGCATCAAAGTCGTAATCGAGGGGGTCGAGCGGGGGGTTCTTGTCCTGATAGTTGGTAGCGCCGAACAGTACTTTGACAGCATTGCGTTTTCCGGCGGGGGACTGTGCCGCTTTCCGCAATTGAATCGCCCAGGAGAAGGTGCCGGAGGACTCGCCGTCGGGAGGGTAGCCTCCGGCACCATCGAGTACGACGACGGCGCCGGTACTTGTATCGCGGGGTGCGATCTCTTCGAGCTGCGGAAACGGTCCAAATTGGGGGAAAGGCTAGCCTGCGAACGAGAGCCGTACCTTGATGTCGACCCACCAATTGTCGCCAGAGTCGTATTGGTAGCCTATGACGTCTCCTTCTTTTTGGAGGAAGGGGGGCGATGCTAAACTTGGAAACTAAAAGATCAGCGGTGACCTGTGGACGGTAAGCGCAGGCGTGGAACGGACCCTTCCTCGGGAATATAAGCATAACCAGCTTTATCGAGGTGAACGGAGGCATCGATGGCATTGGTGTCCTAGAGTCGAGCATTGTGAGCGTGAAGAGCCGTACGAAGTCAAACAGATATCTGACCTTTGGACCGATAAGGGCGCCGTCTTTGTAGTCGTGAAAGGCATGAGCATGAAGATTGCGGACCCTTTGTGAGAAAAGGTGAGCGCTATCGGGAAGGGCTATGATGGCAATAAGATGGGCGAGTACCAGCCCCAGAGGGGAGTGATTATCTTGTCGGCAAAGACGGAGAGAGGAAGGCCTGCAGAGAGACGGATACGGCGCCAATAACGATCTGAACGGGGGTCATATGGATTGTCGATGAAGCTGGTGGAAGGAGTGAGGAACGGAGAAGGATGGAAGAGATCGGGGGACGGACGGTAGAGAGAGATAGAGGGTGAAGTCACGGCGAGAGAGGTCGGTGATATCGAGCTGGGAGAGCTGAGCAAGCTGGAGGGATTTGAGGTGAGAAGGAAAGTGGAAATCGGATGGGACGGGACCTTTCTATCGATGAGGGCGTTTATGAAATGGATCTCTGGGTGGGGAATGTCGGAGGTGTAAAGGCGCTGGGTATTCATCTGGGGGTGGGGATGAGAAGGGGGAAGGAGAAAGAAGAGAGAGGGGGAAGGCGGACGGTTCGCTGCATGATGCGCATGCCGTCGGGGTTGCGGATGCCTCGGTCGTCATGCTGGATGGGAGAAGAAGTGAGAAAGAGGGAGGGGCCGAGGGGGGGAGTAGGCAGACTGGATAAATGCCCCAGGAATCGACATAGCCGTTTCTGCCTCGTCTGGGGGTAAAGGTCGAGGGATCTAGAGGGGGAATGGTGTCAGATGAGAAGGTAGGACATGCAAAAAGAGAGGAAGGGGAAGAGACCTTGCCAGAAGATCTCATCGCGATCTGAGCCAGGGTCGAGGAGATGGAATTTGACGAACTTGGGGAGCTGGAGATGGCCTACAGGAGTCTTGCGACGGGGGTCTCTGGGGTCGATGTTGAGTCGGTCGCATTGAGCGAGCCAGGCGCGAAGACTGTCCTCTGCTGCGTCCAGGCCGAAACTAATCGCGGTCGCTGTTCTTGCGGTTGCTGTTCTTGCACAGTGACCTGTGCCAAGTACTACACTGTGCCTGTACTTACAAGTACTAGTGCGACCCCAGAAGCGACGCATTAAGCGCCTGACCCCAGAAGCGACTGACACGCCTCCAGGTCTCGCATTTCCCTGTCAATAAATGTACAAATGTTACACATGAGACTATGTGCTTCTGAACTATTACTTCCAAAAAGAAAGAAGGAAATCGGGAGGAATTCGCTCCCGATACAAGTCAATCTGAGTAGGGTTCCAGGGGTTTACTAACCTTGTTGAATTGCCACAAAGAGATCGGCCCTGCCGATCTTCTTGTAACTCCAGAAATTATTTCTAACATGTGCACTGAGTATTACAATCCAGTTTCCGAAGCATTACGGATTGCGGTACCTGAGGAATGGGAAGGGGGTCTCTCGTGCGTGACATTCAGCCACTGACCGAGATAAGGCTGACTTTGATTTTGAGCGCCTCGACTAGTGTTCCTTCCGCCAACGTCGTTATCAAACGACTGATAATGGCGGTGTTCAAATCGGTAGTCTTCGGCACCGTGACCATTGGTGACAATCTGTGGGCGCCTTTCCGTCGTTTCTGGGGTCAGACGTGTAATTCCACGATGCTCGAAGCAAAATTCCACCGATCGCCTTCATATTTGACGGGTATATACTGTCTACGATACAGATCAAGTGTACCAAATCTGAGATTTATGGGGGAAGATGCGATGGAGATATGCACGAAATACATTCTGGGCCGTCGCTTCTGGGGTCACACTAGTAAGTACTAGTACTAGCGGCTGCCGCCAGCGCGTGCATTCCACGTGATCGTATGTCTCGGGCCGAGAGTGGGACGCGCCTCAGTCGCGCGCATCTCGCACCTCGCACTTTGCTCTTTGGCACTTTGCTCTTTGGCACTTTGCTCTTAGTTCAGCCTTGCTCGTTGCACTTAGCCTCAGCCTCCG